GGAGAGAAGGCGAGGGAGAGAGGAGTGGGGGGGAGGGATGGAGAGCCAGGGTGCTGGGAGGGGATCTTAGCCCTTGCGCCCATGGGTCCTCCTCGGTCTGTGTCTTCGTGTGGTTTCGCTTCTCTGTGTGGTTTGTGGCGCAGATTCCACCCGGCTTCTTTCTGACTGGGCCTGTGTGCTTGCACGTGTGGCTGTGCACGCTGCTGTCAGCGGGAGCTATGCCCAGGCACAGTGGGCAGCTCATGGACGTCTCTGTGCCTCAGCATCCTCATCGGTGCCACGGGCAGAGCCAGGGTTGCTGGCCCCTGAGTGCGGGTTCCACTTCCCCCCGGGAGCAGGCGGGCGCCCACTGCTGCCGGCGCCTCTCAACTCACCTGTTCTCCTTCCAGGAGGAACAGGAGGCCGCACGGCGCCGGCAGCAGCGTGAGAACAAGAGCAATGCAACCACCCCCACCAAGGTCCCCGAGAGCAAGGCAGCTGGCCCCGCAGATGCCCCCACGGTGAGCCTCCCCTGGGAGCCCCTTGGGCTCATGCCACACAGCCGTGTGGTCAGGGCAGGGGTGGGCACGTGCCCTCGAGACCCCGGTTGGGGAAGTTTCCTGCCATCGTCCCATGTCCACCCTCCAGGACTCTGGTGCTGAGGACGAGAAGGTGGGGGCCGCCGTCGTCAAGAAGCCGTCGCCCTCTAAGGCCCGCAAGAAGAAGCTGAACAAGAAGGGGCGGAAGATGGTGGGCCGCAAGCGCGGGCGCCCCAAGAAGATGAGTACCGCGAACCCCGAGCGCAAACCCAAGAAGAGCCAAACCGCACTGGATCTCCTGCACGCGCAGACCGTGTCCCAGACGGCATCCTCCTCGCCCCAGGGTGAGCGGCCCGCCCTCCCCACCGCCTCCCCGCGTCCCCTCCTGCTGGTGTGGGCGCCTGGGATGGCCTCACCCCCCTGGTGGCTCCATTGGGGGGTCCTCGGCACCTGTTCTGCCCTTTCCTGCCTGCCCAAGGAGCTGGCGTGGCCCCATGCATCTGCCGAGGGCTCGCCGGGTCCTGGATGGTTCTGCTGCGGTGCCCCCGGCTGCCTGGGCGTCTCCAGGCCTGGCCTTGCTGTGCCGACGTACACCAACAACCCAGCCTGGGGCTCCCACCGCCGCACGTGCACTTGACCCTGCTTTGCACTTGAGGGTCTCCAGAGTACACACTCAGGCGGAGGCCATGTTGACCTCGTGACCTCGGGCCACGAGGCTGGTTGAGGCTCTCAATGGACGTGGGCCCGGCAGGTCTGCATGGTGGGAGCGGGCGGACTCTTCAGCCTCTAGGGGAGGGTGAGCCTTTTCTTGAGGCAACTGGGGAAGTGCTGGAGGCCGGCCGCCGAGCCGTGGGCAGCGCGGTGGGGCTGACGCGGGAACTGTTCTCGTGCAGATGCCTACAGGTCCCCTCGCAGCCCGTTCTACCAGCTACCTCCGAGCGTGCAGAGGCACTCCCCCCACCCGCTGCTGGGGGCGCCCACCCCACCTGCGCTGCAGAAGCTGCTAGGTGAGCACGTGCCTGGGCGTTCCCGGGGGTGGTGGGATCTAGGTGTGGTGGCTCAGTGTGGGGCGTGCGGGTCCTGCGTGGACAGTGGGTGTTGTTCTGGCCTGGCAGCAGCCCCTGCGGGCCCACTGGGCTCACCTGGCGTGGCATTCCTCCTGTGGGGGGTCTCTGGCGGTTCAGGTATAGCCCTGGGGTTCTCTGAGGCCAGCTGTTCCTCGCAGGACCTGGGCGGTGTCTGGGGCATGAGTGGGTATCACACCTGTGTGCTTTTGACTTGGAGGGGTAGAGGCGATGGACACTACTCAGCACCCTGTGGTATCCTCGATGGCCTACCCAGGGAACGGACGGCTGTGGGAGGGCAGAGGGCCTGGCAGACCCTCACACTCGCAAAGCTGTGGCGTGAGGGTGCTTGCCAGTCCTGTGCTGAACTTCCTGTGCTCCTGTGTGTGGGGCGGGGTGGGGGACCCTGGCAGGGTCACAGGTCTTGAGTCCTGCGTGATTCTGAGACTCCCACTTGAGCCTAGGCTGGATTGTGTCCACGTCAGGACTTGCCCTCAAGCACCTTTTCTGAGCCATGTGTGTTTCTTTCAGAATCCTTCAAGATTCAGTACTTGCAGTTCTTGGCCTACACAAAGACTCCCCAGTACAAGGCCAACCTGCAGCAGTTGCTGGACCAGGAGAAGGTGGGTTCCAGCTGCAGCCCTGGGTGCTGGTCCCTCTGGGCTTAGGGCAGCCCCTGGTGTGGCAGATGGTCAGTGAGGACACATTTCCAGGGAGCCAGAGTCGAGCTGTGGAGAGGCTGCCACCTTCCTCTGGCCCCTGGACCATGGTGCCATGGATGGGGGACCTTGGCTGTTATGGCCGGTGCCAGGGCTTGTGGGAGATGGCAGGGCACAGCTCACCGCCCCGTGCCCACTTTGCGGCTCTGGGTTGGGTGCAGTCAGTCCTTCTGTTGTGGCTCCTGGGCTGGGGTGTGCAGGTCCGTTGCGAGTGCTCCATGTTGAACCCAGAAATCACCTTCTACTGGGTCCCTCATCACAGCTGAGGGACACGTGGGCGGGGGAGGGAGCCTTTGTGTTGTTTGGTTTGCTGATTATCACACTCGATCAAGTTCTGGCACCTAGAGAAGTTTCCAGAGGGTGCTTGGGGTCCCATCTCATGCGTTGAGTCTGGTGTCTTGCTCAGGTGTTCCTTTTGTTTTATGGAGGCGCACACAATCTTAAGTGCAGGCGTGCACGTGACTCTCCCCTGGCTGGTATCACACCCAGGCATAGTTTCCCGTCTGGAGGTCCCATTCTGGTGGCTCCCTGGACTGGGTTGATACTTGCTTTTCCCGTGCAGGCAGGCCGTCACGCTGAGCAGACTTCCGTAAACTCATACGAGCCTGTTCTCTGGCTCTGCTTTGGATGAGGCCCCAGGGGAGCTGGGGTCCTGGTCGGCTGGTGCATGTGTCCCGCTCAGCCCTGAATGGCTGGGCACTGCCCCTCCAGGAGGTGTGAGCTCCTTAGCTCGGTCAAATCAGGGCTGGCTTCCTTGGCCTGCAGCCCGAGGTGCTGGGCATCCCAGATGGGCCTGGGTCTGTCCCTGAGTATTTTGGAGGAGGTGTGGCCTTCCTACAGCCCCAAGTCACCTGCTCCCCTCTCCTGTCCCTCCTGCAGGAGAAGAACGCCCAGCTGCTGGGCACGGCGCAACAGCTCTTCAGCCACTGCCAGGCTCAGAAGGAGGAGATCAGGAGGCTGTTCCAGCAGAAGCTGGACGAGGTAGGCCTGCGGTGGGCAGGCGGTGCACCCTGGGTGGCTGGAGGGCACAGGGCGGCTCCCATGGGCTGCCCCAGTGTCAGGAGAGAGTCCTCCCAGCAGAGTGAGGCCTGGGACCAGGAGGCTGAGTCAGGGCTGCCCTGTCGTTCCACCTAAGTGGGCCACGCAGCCGCCGCCTCGGGGTTGGACTGCCGGTCACCCCGGCTGCCTGCCCTCCACGACCCCACTTCGTGGCCCTCAGCGTCGTGTCTCCGTGTGTCCCCAGCTGGGTGTAAAGGCCCTCACCTACAACGACCTGATCCAGGCCCAGAAGGAGATCTCTGCGCACAACCAGCAGCTGCGCGAGCAGTCTGAGCAGCTGGAGCGAGACAACAGCGAGCTGCGCAGCCAGAGCCTGCAGCTGGTGGGCGCCTACATCAGGATGGGATGGGTGCCGGCTCTCCAGGGCGTACAGCCCGGGCCCCAGCCTCTCCACGTAGTGGTGCTCCCTCGGGCAGGGGAGCCGGAAGTCTGGCGCCCTGTGTCGACCGGGCTGTGGGTGGCCTCGGGTGCCTGCGTGGGTGGGGCGCATCCTCTGAGGACCCCTCCGGAGGCTCCAGTGGCAGGCTCTGGGCCCCCCAGTCCCTTTCCTGGCTCGCTCGCTCTTGGACTGCGTGTGGGAGCATCTGTGCTTTGGAGTGCATCACAGCTGGCAGGCCCAGCCCTCAGAGGTGCTGCCTGGGTGTTTCCAGCGGTCTCTGGAGGCCCCATCTTTGTAGCAGGGTTCCCTGGGGTGGCCTGGGTTTACCCCAGTTCTGTCCCCACCGGTCTCATTCCTGAGCCTGCAGGACTGGAGGCAGGCCTGTGCTGCCTTTCTGTGGGGACCCACAGCTGCCCCTTTCTTGGGCCGTGGGGTGGAGTGATGGGGCAATTCCCCTTGCCCGGGTGCAGGTACTAAGGCTGTGTCCGTCTGTCTGAGGGAGTCCCAAGTCCTTCTTTTTCCACGCCCTCAGTCCGGTGTGCTGTGCTCTGAGCTCGCAGGCCCTTAGCCAGGCTACCTGAGGGAGCCCTGCCTGGGGCCCAGAGCCCGCTCTGTGGGGAGCCAGCTCTGGCACATGGCCACAGCTGTCCCCGTCCCCTCAGCTCAAGGCCCGCTGCGAGGAGCTGAAGCTGGACTGGGCCACGCTGTCCCTGGAGAAACTGCTGAAGGAGAAACAGGCCCTGAAGAGCCAGATCTCCGAGAAACAGCGGCACTGCCTGGAGCTGCAGGTGGGCTGCGCGCGGGCCATGAGTGTGCCATGCTGGGTGGCACCAGGCTCCAGGCGTTGGGGTCAGTGATGGAGTGCTTCTGGAATGTTCTGTCCTGTGGTGCTGGCTGGCAGGGGGGAAGGCTCCGTTGTCCTTCCAGCTGTTAGGTGTCCTGGGCTTCTTTGACTGAGTGCTCAGAACTCAGCCTGGGTTCCCTGGATACAGCCTGGTCAGCCGTTTCTGGATCATCCCTGAAGGGTTTGCTCATTAACAGAGTAGCCTGTGCCTTTTTTTTTTTTTTGGAGTTGGAGTCTTACTCTGTCGCCCAGACTGGAGTGCAGTGGCACACTCACGGCCACCCCAGCATCAACCTGCTGGGCTCCGGTGATCCTTCCGCCTCAGTCTTCTAAGTAGCTGGAACCACAGGCGTGCGCTACCGCGCCTGGCTAGCTTTTGATTTATTGTAGAGACGAGGCCTCTCCAGGTTGCCCGGGCTGGTCTCGAACCCGTGGGCTCAGGCAGTCCACTTGCCTTGGCCTCCCTGAGTGCTGGGATAACAGGCTGAGCCACTGAGCCCAGCCTGCCCGTGCTTCTTCTTGACCATAGGAGAGACGTGTCTGTTGAGGTCAGTTAGAGGGAAGAGAGGGCAGAGCACAGTGGGGGGGCTCTGTTTTCTCCAGGTGCTTTCAGGGCATGGCTCACCATGCACGACAGGTAGCAGCAGCAACAAGACCACACGGCAAGACCGAGTGTCAGCATTGCAGCCCTGAGGATGCCATCCATAAGGGCGTGTCCCCGCGGCATCGCGTGTCCCCATAGCACAGTTGCAGAATTTTTTTTTTTTTTTTCAGTCGGAGTCTCACTCTGTCGCCCAGACTGGAGTGCAGTGGC